AATAACTAAAGTTTAATTGCTTTTTGAAAAATTTAATCTCGAATATGAGCCATAAACGGTCTGTCTGACTACGAAATAACGAAAAAACTGAATTAATTATAGCAATAAACCCTATGGAAAGCTGAAAGGATTAAAAGCTGGAAGGATGAAAAGCTGAAAGAATAAAAAGCCGAAAGGATGAAAAGCTGAAAGGATAGAAAGCTGAAAGGATGAAAGGATGAAGAGCTGAAAGAATAAAAAGATTAAATGATGAAAAGCTGAAAGGATGAAAAGCTGAAAGGATAGAAAGCTGAAAGGATGAAGAGCTGACAGGATTAAAAGCTGGCAGGATGGAAAGCTGAAAGGATGAAGAGCTGAAAGAATAAAAAGCTGAAAGGATGAAAAGCTGAAAGAATAAAAAGCTGAAAGAATAAAAAGCTGAAAGGATGAAAAGCTGAAAGGATGAAAAGCTGAAAGGATAGAAAGCTGAAAGGATGAAAAGTTCCAGAAGCACATATAAGGTGCTAGATAGTTTTTAATCGAATAGGATTATCTGCCTCATTAGACAAGACTTTTTATTTCAGTTTAGAAAGGCGTTAGTCGATTGTGATGGAGAGTCGCTCCTGCTCTATATTAAAACTGAACTCTGTACAACGGTTTATCTCGAAAGCTTTTCATCTGCATGGTTCTCGGTTAATATTAAATCGAACTTTTGAAAACTTATGCCGTTGTATTCCGGACACTTTACTCTATATATACTGCTAAGATCTCTTTTCTGTCTTGTTTCCGTAGTATACAGTAAGCAAAACACTTTGTTTTTGGATAAAATCAGAAAAGATCTCGGAAAATTAGCAGAATTTTCCACCAACATCATTGCCACATCAGGTATTTGTACCCCACTTTGAAGTAACCGACGTCGATAACACGTTCATTTGTTTAACCACTCGTCAATTATTGTCGACATGTCAATATTCAACAGTTTTGGCCATCGATTGTACGTACAAAATAACAACCAATGAATTACCACTTGTGGTCTTTGGCACCAGTGATCTACATCGCCATTTTCGTCCAATTGGTGTATGCTTGATTTCAACCGATGAATCTGCCGAAACGTTTAAAACATTATTTCGTGGAATTCAGGTTAGTATGAAACACGTCTGATGATTAAAAAATGGTCTGCTGATCAAGAATTAAATTGTTTCAAAGATTATTTTGAACGTGAATGGCTACTGAAATTGCCATTTTGGTATGAAGGAGCAGCTATGTTAACACCATCAACGAACAACGGGCTGGAATCGAAGAACGGCAAAATTAAACAGAATTATACAATGAGACAGAAAATGCCAATTTCTGCTTTTTTACAGACAGCAGAACGTATGCTGAATGATTGGTCATTGAATAATGAAAAAATACCATTTGCTACAAGCATTACGTACAATAATGATGTAGATTTGAAAGCATTTGAATGGTTACAAAAGATTGATAAATCTCAAATTGCACAACTGAATCCATTCACTTTCATTGTGCCATCAAATGATCCAAAAATAAATGTATCCACATGGGTTCAGCAACTAAATTCAGCTGACTGGCAATCATTTGATGAATTCGTTCGCTGGTCATCATCGGCCCGTTTGCTCAATTGCTCACGTTTTTTATTACCATGGTTTTGTTCGTGTAGATATGGTCTCAAAGAATACTCATGTATACATGCAATTGGTTTAATGATGATGTGGGGCACAATGCCTGTTCCACAACTTATTGGTAAACGGAGAGGCAGAGGACGTCCAAAAAAAATAAAATTAGCCTTACAACAAGACTAGAAAACTGAGCTTGTTCTCTTTTTTTTATTTGTCCCATATTCTTGTGAGTGTTGCAAAAAGTAGGAAGGAATAATATACTATATTATATATATTATATATTATAATAAAAAAGGAAGGTATAATATACGCAGGTGTGAGAGCTTTTGCTATTTATTAATTAATTAATTATTCCGAGATCTTTTCTGCATAAATAAATAAATTTATTTTTCCAAGA